CCTCCCCCCTCGGGCCCCGACCGAGTGCGCTGCCGCGTGCGTCGCCGCTGCTGGTGCGGGCGGTGCCAACGGGCGGAGTTAGTGAGCATTTCTCGGCTCTGCGGAAAATCACGCGCGAGAACCGCACAACTGTTGGCACACCTCGGCGCTCCGCCACGCAAATGCAGCCGCGGCGCTCCTGACGAATTTGTTCGACGGCTTTAATCTTCTTCACGTTTGGGCCGCTTTTCGAAATGTGTTATTCGCGACGTGTATTGTGTTTGATTTCGAGAACAAGATGTGTCTGACGTAATTATAAGTGATAGATGATTACCAACATCACGTTGTTGTAGTAGAAACATTGGTGTCGCATCGAGAAGCTAAAAACTTGATTTCATAACACGCTAATCCTTAATTGAGTAACCACAGTTGGCAATCGAGATATTGAACATATCTTTTTTACAAATATTTTTTTAATGAATTACGGTTATAGAACTCCTGTTCTTCTTTTTCCTGACACATTAATATAAATGTAATCTCTTTTTCCTAGCGTCATTTTTATTTCTTCATCCCTAAATATCAAACATTTTCATACTGTATCGTGTAATATTTATATTTATTATGCTCTACTGCGACATGGGTAATTGAATTTCATGATTACACAAAACATCATATATTTTGGATTAATTTATTTTGTTATTTCCCATCTCCTTGAAAATAAATGGTTTTGGCTATGATTAGTCGTCGTATAACAGAAATAAGTTCTTTGCAGAACTCGAAGAATCGTGCAAACGAACCTTCATTTCCACGGAAACTGTGACGTTTCTCCTTAAACAACTTACTTACGAACTTTAATGTCCACCTTTAGGAAAGTTGTATTTTCTCGTCTGACGTAGAAGGTGTCTCACAGTCTGTTTGGATTTTCTGTAAGTTTTTCTTGCGAAGACGAATGGTCGCTGCTTCACCTGAATTATTCACGTTTAATAGTTTTTAATGCGCGCGGAAGTGGCGCACGGGCGAGCGGAGAGCGGTTGAGCGTGCGGTGCGCGCGGGAGACGCGGTGCTTCTTTGGCTTTGCCGCCGCGCACCCTCTTAGCTGCTTGTGCTGCTGCAGCAGCGGCCAAGTGGAAACTCAGGGCACGATTCGCTGTACCTCCGCCGCGATTAAAGAGCTTCCCCTTAAGTAGCGCGTTGCGCCTGAGAGCGCCGTGGGGCCGCATTGCATTTTAGTTAGCCTCCACTCACAGCGACGGACCATCGTTCGAGCCCTACTTGTTTCCTCAGAGCGCTGTGCAACCTCCAAACCTCGTGTCGGGGCCGGCGAGTGTTTGCTGGTTCATTACATGTAACTATGTAATCGACGTTACTATTTTAATCGGTATTTATTCGCGCGTTGATCTTGACCTCGTCGGTTATGAAATAGTGGTTCGTGAAGGTAGGACAAACAATTCTTTGAAAAATATGATGTACAGCCATGAAGACTGCGCAAAAAAGCCCAGCAGAATCGTGTGCACTGAAACAACCACAAAAACATTTACTCTAAACTCACGAACTAATATTTTAATCAGTAAGTATGTTTACTGAAATTACGCCCCTTACGAATTCTCCCCAGTTTCTCTCCTCTCCACAAAGACAAGAGAAACACGATTTAATTACTTTTTTGCCCGGTCATTTTCTAGAACGCTCGCAGCGCAGAAGGCGCCCTGTGCAGGAATTTCACGCGGCGTCATCTACATAAAGAGCGTTGCTCGCCTTCTCCGGTCCTTGGACGCACGCGATTCTTCGGCGTCGGCCACGCGTGCGCCGGCGGCAGGTGGCGCCGCGAAGAGGACTCTCCTGTCGGGGCGGGTGGCGTGCGCGCGTGGGAGCCCGTGGGTGTGGCGGCGCGGGCGGCGGCGGGCTGGACAATGTCCCGGGCGCTCGCGTGTCGAGGCGCAACGGCGTGTCGGCTCGCGCATCGCGTAGCGCTCTGAATCTCTGCTCCGCTGCCGCCGCCGGGACGCCCCGATGGGCGCGCGGCTGGACGGCTCGCCATCGCACGCTGCCCGCTGCCGCCGCCGCCGCCGCAGCCACCGCCACCGGCCGCCACGCCACCCGCGCTGCCGTAACAAGTTCTGTCGGCGCAAATTGGCGGACGACGTCGGCTGCTGGGCTCGCCGCTCGCAGGAGAGACGAGAAAGGAGAGAAGTGGAGAGGAGAGCAAGGAGAGTGGGGAATGGGGACAGGACGGGGAAGATGATGTGGGAACGGCTGCTCCGGGACGCGGGATCTATTCCCCAAGAGGTTTTGAGATGGGTGGCTATAAGTATAAGAGCTGTTATCAGAAGACTGAGCATCTGGTGTGGTGGAGATTGGAGGAGGTTAAGGACAACGAAGAAGGCAACAGAGAAAGCTAATAGTAATTGTAAGAATGAAAACGGAACACGTACGAAGTAAAGAAGGGAGGTGTGAAACGATAGACAAAGTGGAAAGATTAGAAGATACCACTTAAGGCAGAACATGAGAAAATACGACGCGATTTGAGTCAATTCTCCTTGCTGACAATGAGAATGGGGATAAAGAATGTAGAACGGGCGAGCCAAGTTGGGAGGCAGTTCGGGAGAGCGATTATGGCACCTGCGAAGACGTTTGTGACGGTGTTGAACCGAGGAAGTTCCGGGAACAGCGTTGAGGCGTCTGCGGTGGCGAGGAAGGGCTGGTGAAGGCGTTGCGCTGTGGGGGCGGGGCGCGGCTGCTCGCTTCCCGCGGATGTCCGCGCCCAGCGCCGCCTCTTGCGTCTGGCGGCTGAGCTGCGCATTTCCCGCTCCGCCCAGAGTGCCGTGTTGTATTAACGGAGAGGCATAAAATCTCCCTTTGATAAGCAAGAAGTAGTAAAGTGGTTGTCAATATTATGTACTTATCGAAGAGAAAAGAATATCGAGCTCCATTTGCCCTTTCTTGGCTTTTGTTTTCATTTCTCCGAGGGAGGGGGCGCAGGGAGGGGCCGCTGGAAGCATTTCAAAGGAAAAGGCACGGACGGTTTAAGGGTGGAAGTAGTCTTCGACTTACACTCGGTAATACGCTCGGATTTTCTTTGACGTAAAAACGGGGGAAAGCTTTAGCGGGGAGGGAAATCCTAGCCCCGCAATCGAGAACAATCGCGGCCCTCGCGGCACGCAGTGAGTGCGGCGACGTCGCGACGCACGCCCCCTCCACCACCCATGCTATGGAGGCCCAGCCGTCTGCCAGGGATTACGTCGCCATCCCGAGCCTCGCCTTTTCGCACGACGCAAAAACGGCCGTCGCCTTACCTTTGAGCATCGCGACACCGAAAGCTGTCCACGCGCCGTCTCGCCTCACAGGCTAACTTTTCTCGTCTGCAACACTTGCCATCACGGATTTCAGCTGTTCCGAGTGGCGAGTATTAAGCAAAATGTGCACTGCGTAGGGTAGTGGGCATCTATTCTAAGAATTATACTTCGATTTATTTAGTGTCCTTTGGCAGTTTATCAGCTGCTACGATTTCATCCAATTGGGAGCTCGAACATCACCATATTGACGTCACTGTAGTGACGTTTCAGCTCCCGATTGGATGACACCGGAACAGTACATGCTCTGCTAAAGGGTACTGTAAAAAAGTAAAACCTTGCTAATCCTAACTGAATCCGCAAATCAGAAATTTTGCATAATCCGAACAAAATCTGGGATGGAGGAAAAATAAATTTAATACTTATTTCTAGTGTAAAGAAATGATTTTATAATTACTATAGAACTGAAAAACTAATTATTGAAAGACAAGATGTCGAAATGAAACGGGTTTTCCACTGGTAACAACCGTGTATATCACGTGTTTTTGTAGCAGTAATTTTCACTTAGAGGGACTTGCAACATCGATAATATTTTGCCGTAAGGAACTGAATCTTTTTGGTGATATCTCTACATTGTGATGCCATTTTCTCACATCGTAGGCTACGTTGTATTATCTGCTAATCCTGTTGTTGTATTTATACATATACGGTACATTGTTTCGGGTAATCCGAATAGAATCAATTCGGAATACCGGGGTTCTACTGGAAATCAAAGTATACGTACGTTTAACGAGTTTCACTAAATTCTCTATGGAAATAATTTTTTGAGCCATATTGAGACAGGGCAAAAGGGATTGTTATCCGACTGACTCTTGTTTACCTAATAAAAGTAAGATATTGCCTGTGAGATGATTTCGCTTGAAGAACTTTCTTGATCCGCTGCTTTGCTCGTGAGCCTCGAGCTCGTTTTCCGTGGCCTTCGTGGCCTCGCCCTCGCTGCCCCGTCTGCGGATGTCGCCAGCGTTTCGCCAATTACCAAGCAATCAGAGGATATTCTCGTGCCGTGAATATATTTTGGCCGCGCCCGCCTGTCGTCCCGCGGTTTCCTTTGAGCGCGGTTGCGGCTTTATTGTGAGGCAGTTGATTAAAGGGCGCTGTGATGGGTAATTTCATGAAAATATCAGCATCGATGCGCCGCTTTTTCGGGAGCTCCAATCCTTTCTGAGTCGCGTCTGCGCGCGGAAGTGAGTGATGAACGGAAGGGGAAGAAAGATGTGTGCGCTCCCCTAGAAGCTTCAAGTGGCGAGTTCTTGCGATAACGTCATTTCTTTGCTGGTGTTCCGTTATAGATGCGGTGTTCCCTTGGAGATGCGGCAACTTTTACGAGTTGCTCTGTATCAAATATTCTGTATTGCGCATTTCTCAATTCAGTACGTTAAAAAGAATTTATATTTCGTTTTCCTTTTATATATTTATTTCGTATTTTTTAGAACTGTGTTTTTTTAACTTTAATTTACGTAATTTACTTTAATTTTATTGCACTAAAGCAATTTTTATTATATTCAACTAATGTTGATTCTGTAAACGTTTAGTTGTTTGTTTTTTTGTGTATTCTGCGTGTTATCCGAGCGTCGTATATGGTTGCCTCTTCATGCGTTTTCTTCTGTCGACAAATTTTCACTAGTGTTAAACATCAGTTGAAACTGTTATTCTGGCGCATGACCACGAAACTATCATGCTCGTCGGTTTAAGGAAGCGTACTCGAAGGAAAATCTAATCGAAATCCAGTGTTACGAAACGATCTTAGTATAACTTGCGGTTTCACTCGCTTGTTTGAACAACGAGCAAAAACAGGGTTAGGTACTGAGGAAACACATGTACCTCTCGGGCGTCTTCGGGCTCCATAAAGCCGGTGCAGTGCTGTCCGCTGGTGTGCTGTTCCGTGCGTGATACATGCAGAAGGAACTAAAAGGCGCCGCCTACTGGCAAGCAACATGTTTCTCCATGAGAGTTCTGCGATTGCCCATTGTTTTTAGTTGCGAGAAATCATAGTTGTTTTTCATATACGTGTGAATGCGAATGTTGGTCTACCGTGTTGATTGCAAAATTCCTCGGGGACATTTTTACCAATATGAGTTTTGATTTGAGTTTTCTAACAGAAGAAACTAACATTTGTGTCATAATATAGATGTTAGATTCACTCGTGTGTGGTTGCGTTTGACGGGTTTTAAACTAATAAACAAATATCACTTAAATTGTTTTACATTTAATATAACAGTTTTCATGCAATCTCATTTTTAGAAATACTACTGTAAATATTTAATATCATTCAACTCTAAGTAGTGAACTACCGAAATCACATCAGACGTCACGAGTCCGTCTTTATCGGTAAAAAACGATGACAATATCCATTGCTCTTCCTAAACTAATATATTGACTTCATAGCCATGCTTCTGTAGATTGTGTGCCAACGTTGAGGAAATAGCAAATTGTTGAAAGTTTCTTTGCCCTTTGCCTTCTCAAGACGCCCGTGACGCAGTGATTGCAGTGGACGTTCCCGGACGACCACCTCTTCGCGTCCCCGCCGCGCCGTCCCCTCCGTCGCAATCTGCCTTGTACAATCGCCCTAGCCCGCGGCGCCGCCCCCGCCCGCCTCCGCTCCCCGCTCCCCGCTCTCCCAGTGCCCCGCGGAGACGGCCTTCCTTCTTCTCTCTCGAGAATAGCGCCGTCCCTTTCGATTCCGGGCTTTACCGGCAACTCTCCTGTCTGGAAAGTGGCGTTCAAAAGGCCGTTAAGGATTTGTAAAAAAGCAAGGAACGTCTTAAGTACGCGTCTTTTCTATTTGCCAGCCCGTCCGTTGTCTATTCCCCTGCTGTCCCGACCCTCGTCTGATATCTCCGAAGAAGTGGGAGATGGCGATCGTGCAACGGATCGACGCGATGGGGCGGAGTACAAGAGTTAAAATTACAGACTGCTCTATCAAGAGCGCGCCAGATAGAGAACATTTCATTTCCGTTGACATATCTCTTCAATCTATTTTAGTCCTTTCCACTGATATTGTCGTTGTATGTACACCTGCCGACTGATTGAAGAAGGAATTTACAAATGGAGATGAACTTGAAGGGAATTTCCGTTGACATTGGTTTCTTGAATAAGATAAATTTATCGACCGTCTTGATTGTACTCTGAGAGAGAAATGCATTGACAATGCTTGATTTTTTTAAATTTCCAGAGAATGAAAATAATTGTTTAAAGAAGGTAAAGAACATAAAAAAGGTGCATGTGTAGTTATCGATTAGTTATGGTAAGAATGAGTAGAGTTAAGTATTAATAATTCTCTGATGCCTAACTACATTATGGTATATAAACATCATGTGTCGATTACACAGGAATTGAATTAGTGCAAACCACATTTTCAGCAATTGGATCTCACAGAACAAACCTCTAGCGCGTAACATGCAAGTTAATGGGAACTCGCAATGTGTGGATGGAATTTAAGCGCATGTTGTTTGTATGAATCCTGGTCATACATTTTTGTAACAAATCCAAAACCAACAATTTTACAACCCAATTACTTGCATGCCCAACTCTGCTTAGATTTTTGAGAATTCTACTGGCCCTAATATTTAAATTCTTTGCGTGAATTCCTTGTCATGTTTTCGTATGACCTCTTTTGTTCTCGTATG